AATCATGACCTAGCCAAGGTGCTACACACATTTTTGGGGGGACACAGTTCAATCCATGACACAAGCATAATTATGGCTGTCCTGTGTGATAGTTAGGGAGCCCTGATGGGTTTGTTTTGGTTTTTCTGTGTCATATTTGGAAAACCAGAGGTTCCCCACATAACCTAATGGAAAGGTGCCCGCAATAAATTACTTACCTAGCTCTCGTTGATATATTGTCATACCACAGATCGGTGGCATCCCAGTGCCACTCGCCTCATTGGTGGCTTGTATCACCAGATGGTAGTTCTCAAAATCCGTATTACCAACCAAAAATTTAAAACACACAATTAATAAGCATGCATTCCAATACTGAAAACACATGCCATCAAAAAAAAATTGAGAAAACATGTAATAATGAAATTATTCTTTTGAGTGTTTAGATTTAATGAAACATTGTCTTCTCTTTTCACTTCATCCTTTTCATTGACCTATTTTAAGTAAGACAGAATTGACTAACAGTGGCCAACATATATATATCCCAGATGTCCTAAAATTCCTGTAACTTTGCATCAGTCCATTAGCAATCAGTGAGAAATCCACTTGCACCCATACTCTTCACTGCAATCCCAGTTAGTTGCAATGAGTCGGCTCTGATTCTTGGTGACCCCATGTACAACAGAATGAAATGTTGCTCGATCCTGTGCCATCTTTGTGATCGTTGGTATGCTTGAATCCATTGTTGTGTCCACTGTGTATTTTGACTGCCTTTCAGCCTCGGGGGTTCATCTTCCGGCACTATAGTGGATAATATTCTGTCGTGATCCATAGAAGTTTCATTGGCTAACTTTTCAGAAATAGATTGCCAGCCCTTTCTTTCTTGTCTGCGTTAGTCTGGAAGTTCCACTGAAACCTGTCCACCATGAGTGACCTTGCTAGTACTTGAAATAGCAGCAACATAGCCTTCAGCATCACAGCAACACGCAAGCCACCACAGTACGACAGACGGACAGAAGGGTGGTGATGATCCCAGTAGGACATCCATTTTCTTATGGCTCTGTATTTGGCGTTTGAACAGGATTATTTTCAATATACTGGTTAGTCTGCTATTACTCACACTTTAGGGGTTGTTTGTATAGAATTTGCAGATATCTCAGAGCAAAGTAGCAGCTTTTATTGTGTAGCCTTGGTGCATCCAACACGTTGAAGAGGGGGTGAGCCAGGATTGTGTAGCCCGGAAAAGAGAGTCCTGCACGACAGCCCAGTCAGAGTGTAAATGGGACACATGATCTTTTTTAATCTTTGTTGAGCATAGAACTTAAAAAAATAAATGTATAGTTCGGCTGTGTAGACGAGAATTTATTCTGCAACTATTTGGAAATCCCATGACTATACTAATCGTTGTTGTTGTTGTTGTGTACCGTTGAGTCAACTCCAACTCACAGTGGCCAATAGGACAGGGTAAAACTGCCCCATAGGATTTCTAGGGCTATAATCTTCATGGACACAGACTGCCACATCTTGTTCCTGTGGAGTGGCTGGTGGGTTCGATCCACCGACTTTTGGTTAGCAGCCGTGTGCTTGACCAGTGCACCACCAGAGTTCCTATACTAGTTGTAGGAGATGATAATCACAAAAGACTCTAATCTCTGCCTGTCTGCGCAAGGAGATTTTGTCAAGATGATAAGATATGTGTGAATAGCTGTAATACAAAGAGCACAAGAGGAAGGGAAGGATTACTTCTGCCTGGCTATCAGAGAAGGCACCTGTGGGAGCTTCCACTTGAATTGGCGGTGAAAGGCAGGTACATAGAGACAGGCAGAGCTGGAGGGGATGAGCACCGGAGCCTTACTTCCCTGTGCTGTTCTTGCAACTTTTCTGTAAGTGTGTAATTATATCAAAATGAAAAGATTAGCATATCACACGTGGAGTGATATAAACTTAGTCTTAATGGAAGAGCCATGTGTCGGAAGTTCTGGTTAGCCCTCAGAGTTTAGGAGAGTTCAGAGACTCTGGTACTTTTAAGCATCTGCATCTTTTCAAGCACCCTCTGACTCTACTGCAAGAGTAATATGTAGTTTTGTTCTACAGGGTCTGAGGTGTTGATGTTGCAGACCTTTAAGGGTGATTCAGATACTCATAACTGTTGCTGTTTATGACAGTTTTTAAAAAACATGTTCTCAATTATCTGAGGAAGACCTCAAGCTAGGGGCAGCAGAAATAGTTTTACCCACTGGTTTACTGTGCAACCTTAGGCAAGTCGCTTAATGTCCCTGGGCCTTTGCGTCCTCTGATCTATTAAACGATGAGATTAGTTATACAGAACAATCACTGAGCTTCCTTCTGTTTTGAAATGTTATAGCTGAAACTGATGAGGTCATTTGGATTAGTGCAGACCCCCGCATCTGGACCAGGGCTGCCCCTGTAACTGGGAACAGGGTTGTCCCTTCCTTTGAACATTCAGCCTAGTCTCTCCGACTTCCTAGTAGGACCCATTTGTCTTTCTTTCCCTCTCCTCACCGTCCTCAGCGTTCTATAAGACTTGCTTCTCCTGCTTCTGGCTGCCCTTCTCTGACACTCTGTGGCCCCGGAATGTGCTTGACCAAGTCCACCAATGCTGGGTACAGGGCCTGCCTAGATGGAGGGAGGGGTGCTCGAATAAAGAAGGAAGAACTAGCAAATCAACACGTCTCGCAACTCAGGAGTGAAAAACAACATGTGGCTAATATATAAGAATTAATAGAAATGGATTCAGTGCCATAGGAGTTGAGACGAGTAGACAGAGTAGTCAGTGAAGTGTCATTAAGGACGGCAGCTGGGTGTGAAGTCTGGAGAAGGGAGAGCGCAGGGAAGGCAACAGGAGTGTGATTAAATCTTTGTGTTGTGGCTGGGGTGGAATGAGGGTGGTGTGCGGACTTTCACATTTTGCCCATCCTTCAACGCTCAGCTTGATGTCTCCTGGCTCCTCACAGCCTTCTCTGATCACTCTAAAGAGAAGTGTGTGTGTGTGTGTGTATCTCTTCAGCTGAATTTTACATTTCATCCAATTGCAAGCTTGTGTTTTTCTTCCTCACAGTCTTCCTGGAGACTTGTGTATTTGTGGTAGTGGTCAATGCACACACGTAGAATTAATTCATGACGTTCTAGGGCATTGATAGCCTCCTTCCACCACAAAGCTTACACAATCCACTCATGTCCTCAGTGTTCTTTCCTAGATTCCTTTTTATTCCACTTTCTGAGCTTCACCTAGGTTGTACACTCTTTGTGGCACTAGCTGGAGATTTTGTTATGTGCAAGGCTGTCTCCCCAACAAGAGGACAAGACCCTCACTCCTTGTTCCCCAAAGCTCTAGGAGCACAGGCATCTGGGGAATAGTTGTGGAACTGGTGGACTGACTACCAGGAGGATGGTGCAGTGCTTTGTGTAGCTGCCTTTTGAAAATATTTGCACTCATTGAAAATACCTTGGTAACATTTTCCAAGTATCATCAGCATAGGTATCCCTTAAAAAACAAACTGGTTGCCGTTGAGTCAGTTCCAACTCGTGACAGCCCAATGTGTATCGGAGTAGAACTGTGCTCATAGGGTTGTCAGTGGCTGTAATCTGATGGAATTAGATCTCCAGACCTTTCTTTCACAGCACTACTGGATGGATGTGAACTACCAACTTTCCATTAGTAGCGGAGTATAAACTGTATGTGCCACCCTTAGTGGTATTCTTCCCCATAATACTTAAGAAATACAAATGTGATTTCTTACAGTATGTCAGGGAGCCACTGGTGATGTGGATGGGGCACAGATTGTCTTTAAAGAAGTTCAGAAACTCTTCAAAAGGAAAAACAATCAGATTGAACAGTTCTCAGTGAAGAAGGTACGTTGAAGCCTATTGTTCTGGTGCATTACTTTTGATAAGCATTTGTAACCAGTGCTATACCTTGGACAGATTTTAGGAAATCATATTTAAGGTTGGAGACTTACTTGCCGTGTAAAATGAAGTTCATTCCTGGGGAGAGAATTTATGCCCATGATCGCACTTCTGCTCTGAATAGAAAGTGCTTGTTTTGCTGTGAATAATTAAAGCATATGCTGCTGCTTCTCCTTTTTTTTTTTTTTTTTTTTAATGAGGAGAGACATTACAGACTCTGCAGAGCTGATGAGCATAGCTGGAGGGGGAAAGTTAAGTAGTTTCAGAAGCATGCAAACAGGCAGAGCCTAGGTGAGAGATGCAGACGGTCTGGTGCTCAAAAGAGCAAACGTGCCGTATTTTGACTTAATAAAAAACAAAGGCGTGCATCAGATATACCAGCAGAGAACTGTAGAGACAATGTCCCTAACTTATTCTGTACTTTTAAGAATAAAATTTCGCTGAATTACCTTGGGTTACATGACATCTTACCTTGTCCTTATTTTTCCATGATTTTAGTTTTATACGTTTTTGAATAAACATTTAATAAATTATTTTTGTGTATAAATTAGATTATAATGTGGAATGTAACTGAGAGTATTGCGACTAATTGGAAAATTAAAAAGTCAATAAAACTGTACCTAAAAGGCATCTAGACTTACATCCTCCCGATAGACCCATTGAGTTATTATTCATCCTTCAGCTTTTAGGAATTCCGTAGATTTAAACTAAGATGAATCTAGTTTCATCCCCAAGTTTCCAGAATATACCCTGGATCTTATTAGTAGATTGAGTTGAGTAATGAATGAAAGGCATATATACCGATATGTTAAAAAAATTGGAGAGCAAAATTTTCAAATACATAGAGAAATTTTCATTTTTAGCTTTGTTGGAGAGGGCTGGTTGTTAGTTGCCATGGAGTCAGTTCAGACTCATGGCGACCCCACGTGTAACAGAACGAAGTGTTGCCCAGTCCTGCACCGTCTTCATGATCTTTGGTATGTTTGAGTCCTTTGTTGCAGCCATTGTGTCAGTCCATCTCATTGAGGTTTCCCTCATCTTCGTCTTTACCAAACATGATGTCCTTCTCTAGTGACTGGTTCCTCCTGATGGCTTCCCCAAAGTAGGCTAGTCCAAGTCTCAGACGATATTCTGTGAGGATTTTCATTGGCTCATTTTTGGAGTAGATCGCCAGGCCTCTCTTCTAGTCTGTCTTAGTCTGGAAGCTCCTGACCACCATAGCTGACCCTGCTGGTGTTTGAAATACTGGTGGCATAGCTACCAGCATAATAGCAACATGCAAGCCACCACAATATGACAGACTGACAGTGGTGTGTATTCGGAGAGGGCAGTTACATCAAATATGAACTGTGCATTTTTAAATGTCTCAAAAGTGTATTTTTATTTGAATTTGTTTTAGAAAAATGTAGCCTAATTATTCTAACTACTTGCAGGCAGAGAGATTTCGGAAACAAACGCCAACCAGAGTGCTCTGTGTGCTAGCATCTATTGAAGTGTTATACTTGTGGAAAGCCCTTCCAAACTGTTCCTTTCCCAACCTACAGAGGATGAGTCAAGGTAAGAAAGACGCAACTATGTACATTGGCTTGTTTTCTGGCATTGCTTCCTTCAGTTTCTCATTAATATCATCTGACTCAGGCTATGGCTGTACCACAAATCTGTCATTCTTGGATAAATGGTATAGTGACTAAGAAAATTCAGTTGCTTAGGTGATAGAAGCAGAGGGTGCTAGGTTACACAGATATGCCTGCACTGTTAGGAGTACATGATGATGCACACTTACTATAATGTCATTAATTCAATAGGCATGGAGCTTGCTAGAAGCATACATGTTTACACAGATATAAAATGATAGATATATGCATACAGCATGGTATCATCCACCATTATCAAAACACGGAACATTTGCACCACCCCTAAAATTTCCCGTGTGCCCCTTCCCAGCCAACCCGCATTCCAAGTCAACCACTGTTCTTAGTTTGTTCTCCATAGATAGTTTTGCCTGTCCTTAAACTTCATCTAAATGGAATCATACAGTATGTATTTCTTTGTTCCTGACTTCATTTGCTTAGCTTAATGTCTGATGTTGTAGCCTGTATCAGTAATTTGTTCCTTTTACCTGTGGAGTAGTATTTCATCATATGGCTATAAACAAAAGAAAAGCAAAAACATTGCTGTTGAGTCATTCCAACTCATGGTGACACCACGGGTTACAGAGTAGAACTACCCCATAGGGTTTTCTTGGCTGTAATCTTTACAGAAACAGATAACCAGGCCTTTCTTCTGCGGCACTGCTGGGTAGGTTCGAACTGCCAACCTTTAGGTTAGTAGCTGAGCACAAACCGTTTGTGCCACCCAGGTTACCGACACATGGCTATAGCTATGTCACAATTTGTTTATTCAACAAGAATGTCCTATTGACGGACATTTGGTTTGTTTTTGGTGTTTAGCTATCATAAGGAAAGCTTCTGTGAATGTAAGTGTACAACATTAAGTGTACAAGTGTGGACATACATGCACATTTCTCTTGGGTGAATACCTAGGAGTATAATTAAAAGCCTACGTTGTAGATTCATGTATTTAAATACCTAAGACTATACGTTATGGTAATATAACCTTGTTAAAGTCATTTTTATTATAGTGGTAGGAAAAGTTCATAGGAGAATAAACCAAATCTTTAAATATAATAGGGCTTTGTTAGTTACTAAAGAAATAAAGAAATTTTTCTTCGTAAGGTTTAATGACGGACATTCGGATGACACTTTGTAGTCTGGCAAATTATTTAATTTTCTTCTCACTGCAGCCCAGGGAAGAGGAAGGGCAGGCAATATTGTCATACCCATTATCTAATGAGGAATCTGAGACTCAGAAAAGTTCAGAGACTCGCCCAGATCCCATAGGAGCAAGTGTCGATGCTGCTGGTCTGAGAACAATGCATTAAGTAGCAAGGTTTCAGCTCTCCCACACCAGGCTGCACCTTCCTGGGGGTGTGAGGATATTTAAATAATGCAGCTAAGACCATGGTTGCAAGATGAAACTGCTAGGTTAAACTAAAAGTACATGCATACAAAAAAGAATGGCTGCATAGAAAGTAATTATCTTTGGAAATGCGTTCTTATTCACATATATACTGCCCTTTATCAAAAGAGGAGGCCTGGTGACACAGTGGTTAAGAGCTCGGCTGCTAATCAAAAGGTCAGCAGTTCGAATCCACCAGCCACTCCTTGGAAACCCTATGGGGCAGTTCTACTCGGTTGTATAGAGTCGCTATGAGTCGGAATCAACTCAATGGCAACGAGTTTGGTGTGGTTTTATCAAAAGAGATTTAATATTAATATTTTGGCCTTATTCCAGAAATAGTTTCTATGCTACTATGGGACATTTGTCACATTTCTCTATGGTCATACTTGTTTTTGACCAAATATGGCATTATCCATTGAATCAGCCACCTTTATCATCAACTTTTTTGCAGATGCCTTTTGTTTTTTTCTAAAAAGAGGTCCACCCGCAAAGGCTAGAAGTTTGCCAGTGTTGATATTCCAGAGGTCAAAGTAATACTACACCAAAGGGAGTTTTGTGCAGTGGCCCTGTAATTGGAGTTGGTGTGTAACCCTCCCAAGGGGACCATTTGAAAGGAAACCAATTTTTCTTGGATGCATAAGTGCTGCTATGTTCATTAAAAAAGGATTTGTATAATTTTAAACCCATCCCTGGTTGTTGAAACAAGTACAGAATATCTACCAATGTCTAACTCGGAGGGACTAGAAAAGATTCGAAGTGTTATTTTAAGGCACACATGCCAGATCATATATTTAGAGAGAATTAAAATATAAAGACGAATATAAGATAGATAGTAATTGACAGGCACATGAATGATTATTGCTTAAGTGACATTTGACTAAATATTCTCCAAACCCCTTTCTAGGTGTCAAAATAAACAAACAACAAAGATGTGGTTGTGGAGAGGGAGGCAGGCTCTGGAGTGAACGGGAGATAATTGTTTAATATCTTTGTTAAATGTTAATCAAATCTGAGAACTATTCATTAGATTACATCACTCCCCAGTGTTAAGCGGTAATGATCCAAACTGGCACAGGTGTATAAAGAACGGCGAGGTCTTTACACAGAAATAAGTTCCAGAAAAAGAGGGCATGGGTGATGTGGATCCTATGCATTTTTTAAACCCTTTGCATGAAGCCCACCTAGTTTTATGCACTCAGCTTATCAGAGTCCCTGTCTGAAACTTCCTTTATCAGCTGAGCTAGTTAGATTCCTATATCGTTGTCTTGTGGTTTCGTTCATAACCCTTCCCCCTGCCCACCACTCATCCCTCTCCACTACATTTTCCTCCATGTTTTTAAGATGTTCTCTGTATTCTCAGCACAGCAGCCAGAGGTATCCTATTAAAACCTAAGCCATATCATATCAGTCCACTTCTCAGAACCTTCTTATGGTCTCTCCTTCCACTCAAAGTAAAAGCCCAGATCCATTCAGTGGCCTGCAATACCCTACAGCCTGAAACTTCCCAGACTCCGTTACCTCTCCCTGCTCTCCCCTCTTGTGCACCAGGTTCCACCCTCGCCCCTCCTTACTGTGCTAGAACATGGCAGGCCTGTGCTGGCCTCATTGCCTTTGTACTGGTATTCTCTGCCTGGAAACAGTCTTTCCCACACATCCACATGGCTCACTCATTTCCTTTAAATCTTTACTCAGACGTTACTCAGATATCACCCCTTTTCAGTGACGCTCAAACCGTATCTCCGATACACACCCCTTCCTGGCTTTATTTTTTACTTTAGCAGAGTTACATTTATTAACAAACATATTTTACCTGCTTATCTTTTTCATTATCTGTCTCTCCCACAAAATGTAAGCATTCTAAGGGTAAGAATGTTTGCCTGTGTTGGTCACTGCTCTATTCCAAGCACCTAGAACTGCCTGGCACATAGTAGGTGCTCAAATATTGAATGAGTAAATGAATGAGCACTCAAATGAACTGCATTCCCTTTCCTTAATATTGCTGCCTAAAATCTCTTGACTTCTCTTTATATAGGGGCATTCCCAGCGTGGCCTTTTAGGGGAAACACCTACTTGTATAAGATCAGTGAGATTTGACTAAATCTCTTCACTCTTCTTCACACTTACTTCCTCCTCACTCTTCCTACCACGCTCTTTCAGTTACTTATTCTGTAACTTTGAGCAATTTATGTGTGTGTGTATACACGCATACACATATGCATATACAAACATACATAAACACACACATATATGTAATCATATCGAATCCCAAGTTCCTTACTGGCTCATAGAAATAATTGTATCACTACTCTTCTGTTATCTCCACTATGTTTCCACTTTCTGTCTTTTTTATTTCCTCGGAGAACTTCCATAGCATCCTCTGACGTGTGTGTCGACTGTACACAGTATATGGTAAGCGTCTTGACGTGGAGGCTTCAGGTCTGATCCCTCTCGATGACCAGTGCAGTGCCTCATACCACACCTAAAGGTGCCTGTTGTGTGTTTGTTGAAAGTCATGTGATGCAATTTTGAGTCTCCTTGGCCCTATGAAGTTTGTCTCAGTATCCCTTTCTTTGACTAAGGATCCTCACTAATGAATGAGGAAAGGGTACGTCCTGAGTTTCAGGGGCAGAAACATGAACTGAATAAGTTAGCTCAACAATGAAAGATTTAACTGACTGCTGATGATATTGACGGTATTAAGTGAATGTATTTCCTTCCTGCTGTTTTCACTCCTCTTCTCTTTAAGCTTGCCATGAAGTGGATGATTCATCTGTTGTTGGATTAAAGTATTTACTTCTTGGTGCCATACACAAATGTCTAGGGAACTCAGAGGATGCTGTTCAGGTAAACTGTTAGCATTGTTGTTGTGGCTAAAGAAAATAAATCGTGGACACCCATATACGCTCTTGTGAATAAGAAAAATGAGAAAGCCTAAACAAAACAAAACCTCCCACTGCAATGTGAACTTTAGCATTTTATTTCGTTAGTGTCATTTCTCAGATGCTGGAGGCTGATGATGGTTAATACTAGTTTTTAATTCAACTTGAGGTTCTTACAACAGAACACTTATTTACATACGGGCTTCTTTTCTGGCACTAGCTATTTATCAGAGATGACAGTCTCAATTAGAGAGAGGGGGAAATGAGAAGGCAGACAATTTTGAAGGATTAACTGAAGCCTCACAGTTAAAGAAATACAAAAAGATCGGGCGTATCAGTGTGCATTCACTTTTCCTCTCTTAATAACTGCAGATTACTGAGACAGGACTGGAGGTGAGAGCTAGACAGTTGTAGGCTTAGGATATTCTATGACATATTACATGAATAAGAACCATTAATTATTCTCAAAAATAATTGGAGACATTTTTCTAACTGGGTTTTTCATTTGTTTGGTTGGATTTTGTTTGGTTGACTACTTTTTGGAAGACTTCATGTACTGTAATGGGAGACTTTTGGCTTTTAAATACTAGAACATTGATGAACTTGTATTATAATTTTAAATTAATCTTTCAGTGTGGCGTAAGATAAAGTTATTACACAGCTCCAAATGGCTTATTTTAGATCGCACGTTTAAGTACCAGCAAGATACTTTACATGTCAAGAGATGATTCTTGGCTTGTTTGTTCTCTGCTTTAAATATGAACATGGAGGTGTTCAGACTTTGAGATGCAGAGTTCTCAGCAATAAAGTCAGTAGAGGCTGGTGTGTTACCTGGAAAAATGCGTAGCCCAAAATGGGGTGTCTGATGGGTAATATATTCTGGAGGAAGTTCACCAGACAGGCGTGTAAAGGACTTCTAAGAATGAAGGGATGAGGGTACCAGAGATACGGATGGGAACTGACAGAAAGGAATGGAGAAAAGAAGAGAAAATCTGATATAGAATACAGAAAGAAGATGAGTCTTCTTTCCTGCCCCCTGAAGATTATGATGAGCCTTAAGCTAAGTAGGAAAATGAATTCATACCGATAACATTTATATTATATACTTTCAGTTTTTTCAGCGAGCTGTTAAAGATGAGTTGTGTCGTCAGAATAACTTGTATGTTCAGCCCTATGCTTGCTACGAACTTGGCTGTCTTCTATTAGACAAACCAGAGGTGAGCTCTTATATATTTTTAAAATAATATTCACCACTAGAGATGTGCAAATGAGCATGGACAAAGCATCCTTAATTTAAAATAATTTGTTGAACATATTGTTCTTTGTTTTGTTTTCCTTGATTTCACTTTAGAAGAGTCCAAAAGCTACTAATCCTGTCTTACTTTCTCTAAGGAGATAATTTCTTCTCTGGAATTAAAATTATAAAGTAACTTTTTAAATAATGATTCATTTGAGGGAAAATACTGCCTTTTTTCAGAATGATATTATATGATGTAGTGTGGTTTATTCAGAAGAACAGAGAATTAAATTATGATCCTAGTTGGCCATTTCGTTTAGTGTATGCCACTGATTAAGTTACTTAACCACATGCTTTTTTCCTGATCTGTAAAATGGAATAATAATACTTTCCTTGCCAGTTTAATAAAGGTTATAGTGAGATAAAGGAACCTTGGTGGCACAGTGGTTAAGCTCTCGGGCTACTAACTGAAAGGTTGGGGATCAGAACCCATCAGCCACTCCATGGGAGAAAGATGAGGCAGTCTGCATCTGTAAAGATTACAGCGTTGGAAACCCTATGGGGCAGTTCTTTTCTTTCCCGTGGAGTCACTGTGAGTCGGAATCGACTCCTACAGCAATTTTTTTTTAGTAGTGAGATAAATGAGGGTAATATGTATGATTGCTTTTAAAATTTTAGGTTACCGTACAGATTTAAGTTGATGGTTGCTATCAACTTGACGGCATTAGGTTTGGTTTTTTTGGGTATTTGAAGACATATATTTGGAGCCCTGGTGGTACAGTGGTTAAGAGCTCAGCTGCTAACCAAAAAGGTCAGCATTTCAAATCTACCAGCTGCTCCTTGGAAACCCTATGGGGCAGTTCTACTCTGTCCTATAGGGTCGCTATGAGTCAGATTCAACTCAACAGCAACGGGTTTTGTTTTGTTTTGTTTTGTTTTGGTTTTAAGATATATGCTTAAACTAGTACAATGAGGTAGCTTTTTGGTATTTTGTTTGTTTGCTTGCTTGTTTTTTAAGTAGGATTTCAGTAGTGCCTAAATTTGTTTGGTACTTTCTTTTAGAAGCTCAGTTATATGATGTTGACTTTATAAAATACAGTTTTTCATTAAATTCAACTAAGCTTTCAAATGTATGAACTTTGTAGAAATTAGGCAAAATCAACAGAAATATGACTCTAGCCTAATCCTTAAACATTTAGCCTATCTTGCCAAAGACAGGCTTTTAGAAAGCCTTTTAATTTGAAAAGTTTAATTTTACCAAAACAGAAGACACAGTTTTTATGAATGTGGGTAGAAATTGCTGTCACTATATTCTTTATTTTAATGAAATTTTTACTCTTAATATAGTCTTAACATACATATACATATATGTATATAATATAACAGATCTGGCCTGTGTATTTCTTGAAATATAAAGTTGATGACCTCACTCATAATACCTTCAAAGGAGTTATAAGTTAATGATTTCAAATAAAACCTTTTATCATTAATTTTAAGTAGTGTAGTAAGATTTTAAACTGAACAATTATAGCTCTTTTAGGTTGTTGCCTTTTCTAAAATAATAGTGTAGACTATGAAAAATTATTTATCATATGTTGCCTTCATATAAACTAATAAATGTCTTTATATTGAAGAGAAATGGAGTCATACTTGATTAGACAGTTGACTCACCTCTGCCATGTTTGTTTTAATTAACATATCCTTCTGTTATAATATTTTTGCATGTATATATGTATGTATTAAGAAGTAATCTGCTTTTTTCTTACATTCATAGACTGTAGCAAGAGGCAGAGCTCTACTTCTTCAAGCAAAGGTAAAAATACTGAATCTGCCTCTTTCCAGTAGCTCTTCTTATTTTCTGTAGTGTACACATAAGTCTGAATTCAAGAAATTTTGTAAAATGATTGCTCTAGTTGATAATATGTCTGGAAAGAAGAGGTAACCAATTGAATCAGCAAGCACTTGATTTTTAAGTGAAATTACCAAAGTCATAAGAAACTGCTATTCATTAGTTCTTGCTATTTTATAAACACTATATTCTTTTTTAAAAAATAATTTTGAATGTTGCATGCACATGAGTACTGTGGTGATTTTTTTTTTTTTTAATTGAACTTTAGATGAAGGTTTACGGAATAAACTAGCTTCCCATTAAACAGTACATATATTGTTGTATGACATTGGTTAACAACCCCATGACACGTCAGTACTCTCCCTTCTCCACCTTGGGTTCCCTATTACCATCCTGTCCCCTCCTGCCTTCTAGTCCTTGCCCTTGGGCTGGTGTGCCCCTTTAGTCTCGTTTTGTCCTATGGGCCTGTCTAATCTTTGGCTAAAAGGTGAACCTCCAGAGTAACTTCACTACTGGGCTAAAAGGGTGTCCAGAGGCCATACTCTTGGGATTTCTTCAGTGTCTGTCAGGCCAGTAAGTCTGGTCTCTTTTTTTTTATTTAGAATTTTGTTCTGCATTTTTCTCCAGCTCTGTCCAGGGCCCTCTATTGTGATCCCTGTCAGAGCAGTCAGTGGTGGTAGCTGGGTACCATCTAGTTGTGCTGGACTCAGTCTAGTGGAGGCCATAGTAATTGTGGTCTGTTAGTCCTTTGGACTAATCATTCCCGTGTGTCTTTAGTTTTCTTCATTTTCCCTTGCTCCTTAAGGGGTAAGACCAGTGAAGTATCTTAGATGGCCACTCACAGGCTTTTAAGACCCCAGATGCTAGTCACCAAAGTAGAATGTAGGACATTTTCTTTATAAACTGTATTATTCCAATTGAGCTAGATGTTCTCTGAGACCATGGTCCCCACAGCCCTCAGCCCAGTAATTTGGTCCCAAAGGAGTTTGGATTTGTCCGTGGAGCTTCCATGACCTCACCGATGACCTTACCCTGAACAAGTTGTGCTGGCTTCCCCAGTGTTGTGTACTGTCTTACCCTTCACCAAAGTTACCACTTATCTATTGTCTATTTAGTTAAATACTCTATTCTTGGGTGTTTGAGTGGGAAAATGGCTTTTGGTTTTGTAGCTATGGTCTTGAATTAAGATTACCTAACGGCAACTTGGAGCCCTGGTGGTGCAGTGGTTGAGCTATGGCTGCTAACCAAAAAGTCAGCAGTTCAAATCCACCAGCTGCTCCTTGGAAACTCTGTGGGGCAGTTCTACTCTGTCCTATAGGGTCACTATGAGTCAGAATTGACTTGACGGCAAGGATATTTACAGCAACTTAAATTGAGTACATATTAAGACTGCTGCTTCAGGAATAACATGAGGAAAATTTTCCAAAGAGAACAATATTATTATTCAGTTGACATTTAAAAAAATGAACACAAAGTTTGAGGTTTGAGGAATAAGAAAATCAAGTATATGTTTAGCCTTTACTAAGAATGTAGGGGATTTTACTTTGGGAAATACAAAATTTAGTGTGGTTTATATCGTAGTGCCCTATGAAAAGCTTAGCTAATAGATTCCATACCTACTTGTCTTTGGTCTTGCAGGAGGATTTCTCTGGCTACGACTTTGAAAACAGATTGCATGTGCGCATCCATGCTGCTCTGGCCTCTCTGAGGGAATTGGTTCCTCAGTGACAAACCAGAAGTTCCTGCTCTGTCCCTTCCCACCCAGGTTACGCACTTTACAATAAAAGCAGAGGACAAAGCTCTTGTGAAGATCAGCTTTTCTTCTGTAAACTACCTGTGCCAGAGACACACTTTCCAATTAGGCTGACATATTAAAAACCTCTTCTTTTAAACATATAGCTAAAAAGTAATAATATTAACAACAATAATAAAACCTGGTGAGAGGGTTAAGTGACCTTGTTCACATATTTTACTTTTGTGATTTATTATTTTTAAAATAAAATCAAACTAAATATTCTACCTGTGATCTTGTAGGAAAACTTACCTTAAGCACACATCTGACTGGGTAACATGAAGAGATACCTGTAAAATTATTAATAATATTAAGACATAGCATTTATATTGTGTTTTGGGGAAAAAAAAGTGCTTTCTAGTGTTTTACTTTATCCTCAAAATATTCCTGTGAATAATGTAGCACAGATATTCTTAGCCCCATTTTACAGATAATGAAACTCAGGCACAAAACCTAATTGATTTATCCAATTAATTATTCCTGTTATCAGTGGAGCAATGAATAAGATACAGATTTCCTGACCACCAACTGAATATTCTTATATTGTAAAAAATGTATGTTAATAACCCAGGATCCCATATTTTCCTTTTTCAAAACCAAATGCTCTTCAGCTGAAGCTGTATTATCAAAAATATTAATCTCCAGATTGTCTACAAAATGTTTCAAAGTGATGAACACTTTATTTTTTCCATTGAAAGCCAAGCAAATTGAAGAAGTAGAAGATAATTTTACAACCAAAAGTATAACTTTTTGCTAACCTATTAGAAAGCCTAGTCTACAGACTAGATATTTAATAACTACATTTTAGGAGTTTCCATTTATCTGTGATAATTTGTCTAATTTCTAACTTTTGGAAATCTTTTACCCAGTTACGTGAAGAGGATGTTCTTAAATGAAGATAATTTTTTTTTGTCTCCAAGTATTTGATGGTGAATGATTTGCAGAGCTATGTGTTGCCAGTATTTAATAATTTTCCCCTTAGCTCAGGTTATTACTTACTATAAAAGGAAGTCAAAGTTATTTTTTTAATCCCTCATTGCTCATTTTTATTGTCATTTAATTTACCTCCATGCCCAGTACTGCACATCTGTGGTTTTGAAGATTCTAAATACCTCAGTCACTTAGAAGAATTTTTGCCACAATTGTATGACTAACTTAGCTCAATCTTAAGGTTAGATTTTTTTTTTTAATAGAGCTAAAAGGTATTGTTTTAGACTGTCATTTATTTACATAGCCTTTTGGCTGAAGCACGACCTCATGTGATATTAATATTTCAATTTTTTTTTCCAAATAAAACATGGGAAAAGCATACAGAATGTTGGCCAACTTAATCTTATGGTTTTGAAGGAATAATCATAATTTCTTTGAAAGAAGTTATTATTCCTCATTGACTTTGAGTAAACTATCTTCATGTTTCCTCATCTGTGTTACCGATCACTTTTTGGTGGACTTTTTCCAAAATATTTATACACACTGACTTACTTCTTGATGTGAATAACGTGGCTTATACACACTGACTTACTTCTTGATGTGAATAACGTGGCTTTTAGATACTAGCAAGTGAGAAAGCGTTGCTGTCCTATGTTCAGTGAATGAGTAGATTCAGAAGCCAAGCAGGTGCTTTCTGAAAAGAATAGTTGGTATCTAAAAATATTGCATATCATCTAGGCTGGAGGGAAGACATTATGAATCTTTAAAATATGTATATTTTTGTTGTCTTCTTATCTATATGCAGTGAAACCTGTGAGAAGCGGAACTCGGAGGGACTGCCTTGTTTTTCTGGGTCTTGGAAATTTTCTGCCTTTGACAGGGTGCGGTCTTATCACTTTTCTATCGCTCCCTATTAGTGGAAAATATTTGTTTTCCTTCTCTGACAGGTTTCCACCTTACACAGTTCCCAGCTTTCGCAAGTTTTACTTTGTACGTGGCAAATTCCTTAGTTATGATTGTGGAACATTCTGGATCATGAAATTCTTGCTTCAGAATTCAGACTTACTTGAATTTTCAGTTCAAATATTATTAGGACTATTATTCAGTATTCAAAGATTACATAAAACCCTATCCTTTACCATTAAAATTTTTTTTCTTCATTATCTGCTTAAAAATTACTTTTCTTTCTCCATAAAGATACGAGGATTTTAAACAAGTTTGTGTTCATTGCATTTAACTGGATAGACAACTTTGCAAACCTCTGTTAGATTTCCTTTAATAGTTAAAACATAGCTCTGTTTAAAAACAGCCTCTCTCAGGCTTGGTGCATATTGCTTCTGCGGTACATCTGTGATAACACGGGCATAGAGCATGGGAGTGGGAAGACAGTGATTCTGAAGACTACAATAACAAAACCAAGAATCATGACGTTCTTGCTCAGAGTGAGTGTGAGGACACCATACCATTAGGTTGACTGAAATCTGAGTAAATTTTTTAGTTGAATAATTCATAACAGTTACCTGGCCTGTGTGCTGTGACTTATCTGACCTGTGAACTGACTGTGATCTGCTTGGTAGCTTGGTTTGGTGTAAATGGCTGTTTACTGTTGATGAAGAAAATAATATTTAAGTGGAACTGTGTGTATATGTGTGCTTTTTTTTTTCCCTCTGTTACCATCACTCACTCCTTCCCCCTTTCCTATTTTGGAGGCTCTCAAATGGATCTTCTAATTTGTAAGTGTCAAATATATTTTTATACTAGATTGTGCCTATGATGAGAGAAATCACTATTTTATGTACTCCAAACACATTTTTATAATTTGAGACGCTTGGAAGCATGGTGTAATAGTAATAATGTAATAATATGCATTTTGCTGGTTAATATATTTAAGATTTTACCTCTACTGGGTTAGGGTTTTTTTTTTTTTTTTTTTTTTTTGGCTCATGAAAACTAAATCTACTGAGTAAAGACTCGTAACTTTCAGATGTCATAGGAAATAAGAATATTTATTGTCACATACTGTATAAGTCAGTTACTGACAGAACTTGCATTTACATTTCTGCCAACTAAAAGGACAAAGCATTACTAATTTTTTAAAAATACACACACGCACACGCATACAGAGGCATACATGCGCACACATACACATGTATTTCGTTTGCTGTGTAAACTTTTCTAGTTGATTGCTTCCTTAAGCAAATAGTGGGGACAAGTATTCAAATATGGCTTTGTAGCTAAGAAGATATACATTCATGCAGGCGCAATGTACTGTTTGGTATTTCTTATATTGTTTTGAATCATGTTGGTGGTATATTTTGTATTCACATGTATAAAATAAAATTGCTAAACCCAGGTCATGCCAAGAAGATACATAGTAGAGGAAAAAGACTTAGAAGCTAGGAAGGGAATGGGAAAAGAGAAAGGACAGGAGAAGCAAGAGAATGGAAAGTTGCTCCCCTTCTACAGAGAAGTGGCAAAAATCACCAAGTGCACAGTGTAACTAACTGACTTTCTTGTAAAAACTAGCAAAAGGCTGAGCTTTATCACCTAGATGACTTGGGCATGAAATAGAAACAACACATTATAACCCAGGTGATCTCTGAGTTACACTTAATTTCTCCCTCCACAGGTCAGTGGTTCTCAAATTTTAGTGTGGTACCAAATAGCCCTACTCTCAGAGATTGTGATTCAATAGGTTCTAGGTAGGGTCCAGGAAGGCATTTTTAACAGGCTCCTGGGGTGATTCTAATGCAAGTGGCCTGGATTAGAGAAACTGTTCCCTACACCATCATCTTTTGGTAAGTATTTCGTAAATCTGGGAGAAGTCAAACACAACCATGAATTATATAGCAAGCTTAAGCTCAGATTGTGTACCATGGAGCCACTGAAGAAATACTTCTAACCTATTGGCTTCCTAAAGTAGAAGATTCCTGAGCTGAGTTTTACAGGTTAAGAATGATGCAGTCACATGAAAAGGATGGCTGGAGGGGGCTCACAGACCTTGGACAGGGATCAAAGGCACAGAGGTAAGAAACAGCAGGTGTGTTCAGGGCGAAGTCTCTGGAGAGTTAAGTGGGAACCAGATGGTGAGAGATGAGATGGGGGGTATGCAGAGGCCACACAGAGAACCTTGGACTTCTATAGGGTAAGGATTTGACGGGGTGGGAGGGGGAGCAATGGAGAACAAGGCAGATTTGCATTTTAATAAGATCACTAGTGACTGAACAGGAGATAAACACAAGGACAGGAAGATTGTCCTTTCAATCAATAGGAATTCAAGAAACCAAATCCACAAATGGGCAATGGTTTGAGAAGCCTCGATTACATATTTTCACTGTAACAATTTGCATTTCAGAGTGACTCGGACAAAATGATCATTGGAGAAATGAGGGAAGGGTAAAATCTTGCCTTCTGAGTTACAAGTATTCTGCCCTGTACCTGACAGCTATTAGATGTTCAAGATCACTCGCCAAGGTTAGTTAGGCTACAGGACTGTAAATGTCTCCAATTCCAAAAGTCACCATAAATGGGGTCTCTAGTGTTTATACTAAGGAGCCTGGTGGTGCAATGGTTAAACACTTTGCTGCTAACCACACAGTGGGCACTCAGTAATAATTATTAATTGAATGAATGAGTTTCCTCAGAAAATATCTATAGCAGAAATGTAGGCTGGGGCCTAAACATTCCCTTTTATTGCAAAGTGCTCCAGAAGCCTTAATTTTTTCTGAATTAAAAAAGTTTTTATGTTTGCCGGATATATGATGCTATTTAACAGTTGATCTACAGTAGCTCTTGTTGCTTTTCAAACATTTAAAGATGGATTACAACGAAGGTTGCTTGGAATACGTTAATAGGCACGTGAGCCGCAATGGGTCCAAAAGCACAGAGCGGGTATTTTTAAATGAGGCAACGCGCCTTTAGTTTGGTAAAGGTCAGCTGAAGATACACACGCTTCTCGTTGATTTGCAATCTGTTGCTGACAGTATGATTTGGCGGGGGCAGGGCGGGGAGGACGCTACAGCAGATCTCAGGGATAGATTGATCCTGAGATATTGCAGGATCTTAGAGAAACGGGAGGCTTCCGAATTAATGCCAAGTTCTCATTCCACAGGGTAGCTCCTCAAGAGGAAAACTACTGTTGCATAAAATTATTCATTCTCTTTAGTGTTTGTTGTGTACACTGTGGCAGAAATTATTCTTCATAAAGTTGACCCAAGGGAGTAACAAATTATGAGGGACTGCGGGGAGAGACGGTGATGCAAAGTTAGAACAACCATAAATCTATTTCTTTCCTTCCAAACCAGCTCTCGTTTTAGACTGAGCGACCAAAGATGGAAAGGTAGTCGCCTTCACCTACTCCCTGACGCTTGGCCGTTTAGAAACGCCAGTTTTCCTACACCCTTTTGTATTCACCCCGGAGTTCCAGTCGTTTTCCCTTTCGGCTTCCCATTGGCTGGGGCCGTCAAGACCCCGCCTCCTTCCGTGGCCATCCCGAGCCTTCCACGAGAAGGCGGGCTTTATGACGCACGCCCTGACGTCCCCAGCAGTATAAAAGCCCACTCCGAGGTTGGTCTCCTCAGGAGCCGCCAGCAAGGGGGCCACGAGAAGCTATCTAGAGCATAGCCGGAAAGCAGAAGGTGGGGCGAGTCTGGAGGAAAGGCCAGCCTGCGGCCCCGCAGGCAGTTAAGCCCTCACTCGGGGCGTCTCGCGCGGGCGGGATAGTTGGACAGTGCCGCAAGTGGCCGGGAAGGCGGAGGATGTCCAGAGTGGGAGGCCTGTGGACAGAGGCCGGTCTCACACTGGAGAGTGCGGCGACTGGTCTGCCAATGCCCGGGTGGCCGAGCGTCGGCGCGGGGGCCTCGGCGGGTCCGCTGTCTGCCTCACCTGAAAAGTGGATGCCAGATTGGCCACGCCCGCTCTGCCACATTCCACTGCCCTCTGCCCTAAACAAACCAAACGGCACAAGAAGCTCAGACGTACAACGGGGCCCACACACCCCAATTTTCAGGGCTTTAGGGAGCGAGTGGTGCGTGTCATTTACATTTTCTGTGGCTCTAAATTCCCCACTCATATCTTCAGCCACAGGCAACATTTTCTTTCTAAGGTATTAATCCTGTGGTATTGGGTAAATAAAAGCTTACAGTTTGCGGAGGAGGTGAATTTTCTGTTAGTTTTTGACAAGTACTCCTTCAAAGGAGAGATTTGGAGAGAATTGTTTAACTGTCACTTTTAAATATCCCTCGGTGTCAGAGTATTTTGTCCATTGATTTAGCTATGCTTGGTGTCACAGTGTTTCTCAACTTGGATAGGACAGTTCTTTATATGGGGCTGCAGTGTAGGATGTTCAGCATCCTAGGCCCTGGGACATTATCCCAAAGTGGCTGGTGGAGGTGGGGCGGCGACCTACAGCCCTATTAAGAACGATTAGGACCTGTGAGTCGCGGGCTGCCTGGTCGCTCTCCCTCTCCCCGCAGTTGGTAGCACCAGCTGGTAACTGCCTCCAGAAAGAGTGGTTGGTTAGCTCCGTCATCATGGCTACTGGTAAGCCACTTTCAAAAGCATAACCTGTGTTCTCACACTGGGGTGGAAAGGATATGCTTAAAGAAAAAAAATTATATTTATATAAAATACATATTTACATATATAATAATATTTTATGTATGTATATATACCATACACATATTATTATTACTGCCTACATCCCTTAGAATTTAGCATGTGGACTAGCCAAAGCCACACTACTGGTTTTTTAAAGATGGTTTAATTCAGTAAAGGTCCTATTGAATGATATTCTGACAGTAAATTTCCATTAAGGGACTCAGTGCACTTAAAACAATTATATTCTCAAAGGGTTTGCTTTGGCCAACACTTTTATTTTTTTCTGACCTTTGGGAAGATGAAATGTGCTTTTAAATATTTAGCATTTTGCTATAATGTATTCATTGCTTTTTATTAGAGGTTGGACTCTTGCATAATTGCTGTAACAGTTTAGTGCCGCTAGCCCTGTGAAACTCATTACTCTATTTACTGCAGGGATGTTGTTGAGGACATGGTTCATTATATAACCACCATCCTCCTCTTTATGAGGACCCATGGGAGAAATTTCTCCTGGGTCCCAGTGTCCAGAAGAGCTGTGATTCTTGCAAGCAACTGATTTTTTTTTTTTTTTTAATTCAGAAAACCTTGATCATTCAACAGTTTCCTATTTTTGATGATTGCTTGGTAGCTCAGGGACTGATTTGACACCTCTCTCTATTAAAGTGAAGGAGTATTGTATTAGAGTTCTAACCTTACCTGTAGCATCATTCTATTTTTTATAGCATCATTTCTTCCTTACCACTGAACTGATTTTTATTTGAACTGGTTCTTTTTAGTTTTGTTTCTTATGTATATTTATAAGCTTTCTTAAATCATTGTTCAGATTGAGACAGACTACATGCACATATACTGATACACACACACAGTTTAGGGTGGCAACCTCTGCAACTCTCAGGACTGGAGATTGGGCTATCCATTATTATCCTTGCCATCACGTAAAAGCCAGAAAGGCAGGTGAAGGAGGAGAGAGGGAAAAATAGGGCAGAAGTTAAGGGAGGATATGAGAAAAGAAGAAAGAGGTACATATGGTGGTGGGTGGTATGATAGTCCCACATATAACTTACATCTGGTTATTGTTAAAGATTTAAAGCTGCGAAATGTGTACTTAAAGCTGAGCAATGCTGGGGGTATATTTAGAAATGAGAAAAGAAGTGTTTTCTTGTAAAAATGCTGTACTGTTTCCAGACCCATGTAGTCCAGAGCACTTTGTTTAGAAACAGATAAATTAGCTTAATTCATCTTTTTTGCAATGTAACTGGACAAAATATTCACTAAATTTTTCAGAAACATGTTTTGGTTGGTTGATATTTTGTTCTTTATTTTTAATATCATCTTGGGGTTCCTGGCAGGGCTTTTCCCATGGATTTTCTTAACAGTACTAGATTGTTCCTCTGCACTATTGGTAGTGGTTTGGTTTTAACTGCAGTGAAGAATTAGCCCATTTTACCAGAACATCAGAAAACCAAACCCATTGCCATGGAGTCAGTTCCAACTCATAGTGACCCTATAGGTCAGAGTAGAACTGCCCCATAGGGTTTCCAAGGTTGTAATCTTCACGGAAGCATCTTTCTGCCAGAGAAAGACGGAGTGGCTGGTGGGTTCAAACTGCCTACCTTTCAGTTAGCAGTGGAGCACTTAACCACTGCACCACTAAGCTGCTTTTTACCAGTGTAAGTACCTACAAATTAAACCTAAAGCTAATAATTTTAATAGGGAATAAATTTGTTCTTGAAACTATAGTTTAGCTCATAAGAGATATTTTAATAAACAAATATGCTGTTTGTAAGATTTTGTTTTTCTTTATTAGAGTTGAGATTACAGATATCCTGCCAAAATGATTTCTTCAAAGCCCAGACTTGTCGTGCCCTATGGCCTCAAGACTCTACTGGAGGGAGTCAGCAGAGCCGTTCTCAAAACCAATCCGCCAAACATCACCCAGTTCGCTGCAATTTATTTTAAAGAACTTATTTTGTTTCGAGAAGGTTTGTTACTTCTTGAGATTATGTATTTGTTGCTTTGAAAACGAAAGAATTTTAAATTGTGAATTTTAAATTGTAAATTTTATGTATCTATATTTGATTTCCTGCATTTATTCCTTCAGGAAATGCTTCCATGGACATAAAAGAACTGGTTAAACAATTTCATCAGATTAAAGGTAAGAGTCACAAGTGATAGTTTCAGTAATATTCTAGTTGTAAACTATTGCATCATTACTAGCATACATTCAAACTCAAGAATTATGCTCACTGATGTTTGCTGTTTAAATAATCACTCTGATGCCGGCTTTTATTATTAAATCAGTTTTTTAAAAAAATCTGGGGTCTGACACTTCAGAGGATTCTAAATTTTTTCTAAAGAAAAACATAGGAAAAGCTCATCCTTTGCAAACCATTTGGCACAACAAATGTACATGAAAACCTAAAACTGTGTATAAACTATGACTTAAACTCTTTCCAGTATGTCCCGTTCTTTAAGAAAGTACAGTGAACTTCAAGAGAATTGTATTTCTCAGATATAATGGATACATTACTTCGGAAAGTTGTATAAGGAAATGTTAAGACACCTGTATTGTTTTTTCTCATAATGGCTTAACTGCAGTCTAGGCTGGAGGGCAGGAGATCAATTAGGTGATCTCTCTCTGACTCCTTCTGCTCCAAGAGAGTCTCTATGTAGTGAAGAAATCAGTTTTCTTAGAAAATGGTCTCAGATAGTGTCACATAGTGCTATATATTTGCTTAGAAGAAAGTTGTGCTTTTAAGACTATATGGATATGTGTAAATGTCTATCTTATGTGAACACGGTGGCATGAAATCGAATTGACAGAGGAGCAGTGAAAAAGGGGAGAAATAAGAAAAGGCAAAGTTTATGTAATGAAAATCTGGGAAGATGAGTATAAGCAAAAGAGGATATAATGGTCAGATCGCAGAGACAGGCACATGTGTCTAAAAGAATGTCAAGTAAAGTTTTGGCAGAATTTTGTGTAGGAGGAGAGGAAACAAAGCTCATGGTCAGTGTGGGAGATAAATAATTCTTGTTACATTGATTGACCAACATTTTTAAATGATCATAGGAAAAAACAAGACAGAAAAGACCTGTCAGCCACTTCTATACTCTGCTAGTTTGGTGATATTAATAGATAAATAGCCAAGGTAAGATATCAGGAGTAAGACCTAGGAAAGTGTAACAATCATGCAGGTTTGCATCGGCAGTGGAAACAGCAGGATTAAGAATAGCAAGGGTCAGCATTTGAAGTGAAATGAGAATGCTTTAGGAATATTCAGGAATATTTTATTGTCTAGTCTGGCTGCTTCCCCCCAGGGTCCTAATGGCATTCTCAGCTCACCATACGAAATAGATCTGGGACTTGCTTACCATCAGCAGGATATACAGAAAAATGCAAGAATATTAACCACCTGTGTTTTTCTCCCGGCCCCCATGAGGCAGTCAAGGTTATTATGGCCTTTGTATTGTGCTCTTTACGCCAGGAGCTGTGGTTGAGAGGACTGTGAGTGTGCAGGCTAGCTATGTTTGTGAATGGTAATTAAGTCAGTGACTCTTTATGGTGGAAGGAAACTAACTGGTAGTCTTTGAGGTTAATTGATTTAACTATGAAGAATTTATCCACCATCTAATTTAGCAAGTGGACTAACCTAATGTGGATTTTGGTGCATCTAGATTAATGTCAGAGCTCAAAGATAACAGACTGAGTTACTGGAGCAGCCATACTTTTGACTGAGGCAAAGCGTTAGAGATGCTGCTGTTTTTTTTTTCTTCCAATAATTAAAAGTATCAAGAAGATTGAAATAGCATACAGATAATCCTGAAAGCATTCTCACAGTATGACTGCAGAAACAGATTGCCCAGTGAAGGTTCTTTAGGCAATAGAGTAGAAACGAACATTGTTCTACTTTACTGAGGAGATGGGAAGGAAACATGAAGGTATGACCCAGGAAATATAGAGTTCAGTGTCAGTGTCTAATGTCAGCTAACTCCTTTGTCTGTCAGCTGTTTATTGTTATCCCAAATGGTTTCTTATTGGACACTTAGATCCCTTCAAAGAGACTGCTTGAGTCTACCTACATCCAGGAAAGCATCACTCTCGCCTAAAGAGGGACTATCTGGGGATATACAGGCACCGTAAGGTTCCCACTTGGTAGAGCATTTCCTCCCCTGAGTGACATCCTCCTCTCTTCTGACTGGTTTCAAATTCCCCAACTGCCGTCCCTGTGGTAGCTGAGTAGATCTGACCACATGGTTGTTTAGTTCTCCACAGTGAAAATGCAGAAATAACAGATAGCATCTTCACCTCCCTCCCTCCTGTGGGTTCCAGTTTTCAGTATGGATAGCAACACCAATAATGCCTTACATGCGTTCTGTTGGTCCCAAGGATTGGGGATCTCCTAGACTTTTAGTGTAAGATGGAAGAGAACCATTTGTTGAGGACAAAGTCAAATGACCCTTATTCTAGTCTTTCAGTCTCTTCAGCATGAGGCTGGACCAGCCTAGAGACAGCACCAGGTATTAGAATTTGGTGATATAGGTAAGAGCTATCATCTCTAGTGCATTGGTCCCCACTCATCTCCCACATACCGAATAGGAGCATGAAAGACACAGATGTTTCCCAAGAATCCCAGTGGGGACGCTGTATTCTATAAAAGTGTTCTCAAACAGGTTAGTTTGCTGCCTAGCAGCATTACCAACATGCTACCTATGTGCATGGAAAGTTTGGAGGTAAACCTCTCCCTGCACATACCATTTGTTTTATTTGAAAACTTCATTCTGGACTTTCTCTTAGAAAGAGCCCCATTTTTGTTGGGCCTCACTGTAGGGCCAGTAGGATTTATCTGTTTCTCAAATGGCTTCAAAATTTCATGCAAAGTCAGGTGACAGAGGAGGAAGGAGGAAGAGAACCAGACATGGGAGCAAACTATTCTCACTTCTCTTTATGCCTCTGTCGTCTCTCATCTTTTCCCCATTTTCCAGAGCCTAGGACCCTTACGATGGTCCCTGACTCTGTTAAAGGTCTCCATTGTGGTATTTCACCTAAGTATGCCCATTTCCAAAGCAGCCTATGCTGTGAAATTTTTTCTTGTTTTTCTTATTTCCTTCCTCTTATTAACAGATCATCACTATCATGAATAAATGAAAACTTTGCCTTTTCTCAATCTTCACAGGAGAATTTCTTCATTACTCCAAATGAATCTTTAATTGATTGAATTTTAGAAACTCAGGTGACATTTTAAAGCAAAACAGTCATCCTTCTCTTAAGTCCCACCACTTAGTATATGCTAGGAAGGGAGGGAGAAAATGGAATTGTTTTGTCCTAGACAGTTTAATACGTTTTGTCAGTTAATTCAGACAACGTTATGAAGTAGGTGGTATCATTCCCATTTTATTGAAGATAAATCTGAGGCTGGGAGTGATAAATAACTTTTCCAGGCTTGCAAATATTGAGTAATTGGCAGAGTTAGGATCTACACTTATATCTTCCTAGTCCCATGGCACATATTCTTTCCACTATAGAGTAAAGAACACATTCTAGGATCCGTCTGAAAAAACCTTAGATTATTGAACTCAAGGAGTGAAGGGAGAGCCCTGTTTCCTTACATCATCTCACTTTTCACTTCTTTTCCCCTGTCACCTTCTTGTGTGGAAGCTGAAGCCCAGATTGTTCAAATTCTGATTTTTTTACCACTTTAGTGAAGAGGGCAATGGTTTCTCTTTGAAAGTGGCAAATGGTGTCTCACTATCACCCATCCTCCTAAGCCTAATTGACTCTAGTTTCCCAGTGTCAGCCCTGTCTTGGATCCCAACAAAAGCAGATCTAACTGATCCTGGACATTCTTGGTTTGACCTTATAATAGTAATTATAGTCATGAACTGCTGCTGATCATTGGGCCCAATTTCAATTCCTATGCAGCACCATAGCAGTATCATTAAATATCTTGAGTTATTTATTCATGTTAAATATTCTGATTAAATAATATCTTGAGTCTGTTTATTCTTATGTCAAGTTCTATTCATATGCCTTTTTTTTTATACCTGGTTATGCACACATGTAGCTATCCAGTCTTACTTTAAACAAAGGCCTATCCATACTAAAGTTTGTGGTTAAGTAATAATCCAACCCTTGGACCTTTGATGCTACTCTGCACTTTCCTCAGCCTTTTTTTAAGTAAGGCTATTTTGATTCCCTAAACAGGAATGGGTATTGCACCCAACTGACTTTTTGTTCCTTGAAGTCTTGTATTTGCTGAGGCAGGGTTGTAACAATTTATACCAAGGTAAGAATTTTATTAAGCTTAGAAAAGGTTTGAATGGTCACCTGGTGATGATGTTCGGAGGGGACTTTAGGTCCTTCATGTTTCATGCTTTTCCATTGTGGTAAGATTAATCAATTGGGGAACAGTCCAGACTAAAGGAGGCCAAATAAATCACTGAGCAAATGGCATAGATAAGAATTGGGGTTAGAGTACCAGGCTAGGAGCCAGAAACTGAATCAGTATTAACCTGTTGCCGTCAAGTCAATTCCGACTCACAGCAACCCTACAGGACAGAGTAGAACTGCCCCATAGGGTTTCCAAGACTGTAATCTGTATGGAAGCAGACTGCCACATCTTTCTCCCATGGAGTAGCTGGTGGGTTCCAACAGCCAATCTTTCTGTTAGCAGGGTGCTTGAACTAGTGTGCCACCAGGGCTGGGAGGGAGTAATTGAGGGCTGGGCTGGGAAGCAGATATAGCAAACCAGGAAAGCTAGGACAAGAATACAGGAGAGTAAAACCAGTTGCCAAGATGAAGTCAGGAACACTAGAAGACATGGTGAAGGCATGAAGGGAGAACATCTTGGTTTTAGCCTTGTAGGCTGGGCATATCACTCTACTATCCAGAAACTTTGATAACTCTTTATTAGCCACAAAATCCAAACTTTTCAGTGTATAGGGATATTTTTAAAAAATTTTAAACTAGTGTACATATATTCCAGATAAGCCCTAATTATTTCTCTGTTGATATCTACCGATTGAAGCATTAATTTGCTTTAGGGCTGTCTTAGTCATCTAGTGCTGCTATAGCAGAGATACCACAAGTGGATGGCTTCAACAAAGAGAAGTTTATTCTCTCACAGTCCAGTAGGCTACAAGTCCAAATTCAGGACA